CAACCATGGGAGAAGGAGAAAATAAAACAAAAACAAAATTGTCGTTATCATCCATCCACACACACACAAGCAATTCAATAAGAAAAAAAAGACATCGTTTTCTCAGCTGAATATTGAAAAAAAAATTCAAAGTTTATTCAACTTTTTTTAAAAAAAGGCTGATAATCATCATCATCATCATCGCCAGGATGATATTGGTGGTGCCACTTTATTTTACATTTTTTTTTATTATTGAAAATGAGGCTAATCATCATAAATATTATGACTGATTACAATACACGCCCATCATCATCATCATCATCATCATGATCATCAATATATTCCATGAATATTGATGAGAAACTCAATCTAAAAATAGACATTTAAAATTCATCTTATCATCTTCTTGGAATAGCTGTCAATTTCAATGATGTTAACGATGAAACTTATCTTGGAAAAAAAAAAAACCATATATTCAATGGTGAAAACAAAACAAAACATATAGAGAGTGAAGAAAAAATTCTTGTTTTTCAATGATGAATAAATAAAAAAAAAAAAAAAAAAAAAAGTTTTTACAAACAAACAACCAAAACAATAACAACAACAGTGCGAAAAAAAGTTGTTAAATTTTTTCTTCTTATCATATCCAGGCAAGAAAAAAAAACTGGTAATGATGAGTGAAAAAAAAAAAATTTTTCCGGAAATGATTAATTTCATTCCATAGTGGATGAAAATTTTCATGTATTTTTTTTGCATTTCTTCATTTCTCTCTTTAATCATTATCATCATATCAAACATATGATGACAAAAAGAAATGGTGCTGGAGGGAGTGGCGGCAAAATATAATAACCATAATGATGAATGATGATGATGATGATGATGATATTGTTGTTGTTGTTGTTGGTTGGTTGATTGAAAAGTTTTTTGGCTCTTAGAAAAAAAAATCATTCAATGATTAGGCTTGCTTCATGTGGGCATTACTATTATCCATCCATCATCATTGTTATTGATCAAACAACACGAATACACATACACACACAGAGAGAGAGAGATTGTTATATCCGTTCAAAACAAATTGGCCAAAAATCAAATAAAAATAATAACGAGGTTGATATATTTACTTTGGATCAATTCTTTTTGGTTATTATTCATTGTGAATAATGAATATTTTTGGCAAATGTAAATGATAAGATTTTTTTTCTGGATAGAATTTCTAAGAATTTTTTTCTCTTGAAATTTGAAAATCGTTGGTTATTGAAACACAGACATTTTTTTCTTTAAAACTCAAAACCTAAACATATGATGCAAGGCAAAAGAAGAGCAGACAAAAAAAAAACAAAATAACAAACCTCTATTACTTTCAAAATGATGACTAAATTATTTTCGTTTTTTTTCATTTATTTTCCCAGATCAATGGACCATTGAATCCGGATCCTATCCGATCCAAAATATTGCTATCATCATCATCGATATTGACATAATCAAAATGTCCCCATGTTCGGTCGAAACCACCATCAATAAAGACAAAAAACAAACAAACATCATAATCAAATGTATAGGAATTATTTTTTTTGCTGACTTTTCATAATAGCAAAAAAGACAAAAGAAACAAAAAAAAACCATTTCTAATTTGTTCAATTTGTTTGTTTGCTAGTTTGTATTGTTTTTTTTTCGTTCGTTTGTTCTGAATTCATTCAGTCACACACACGATTGACATTATTTTGGATCGGTAGAATTTTATAAACGGAACCTTTGTGTGTGTGAATTCATATTTTGTTCCATCAGTAAATCATGTGCATTACTTTGTGTTTTTTTGTTGTTTCATCAAATCAAAACTTTTTTATCATTTCATCATCATCATCAACCAGGTATATAGCAATGTTACAAATTGTCATAAATGAAAAAAATATTTGCCCAGTAGAAAAATGAAAAAAAAACAATTCATAAACAAAGCAAAAAAAAAATTTTTTTGTTTTGTTTCAAATCCCAATGGAAAATAATAACAGAGATGAAAAAAAATTTTTTTTTTCTTTCGTGAGTTGAAAGTTTGAATAGCATCGTCTTCAAATCATCATCAATAGATTTGAATTCTTGTGATCCAAAGATTTGATTCGATCACAAAGTCACAAACAAAAACAATCGCAATTGCGTGAATCCTATGCAGAGAAAAATATCTTTATTTTTTCATCTATGATTCTAGTCACACACACACAAAAGCAAAGAATGAAATTGATACAATCTCTATTTTTATTCCATTTCATTCACATTCTTTCCTTTTACACACACAAAAACAATGAAAAGATGATCCAGGAAGCGAAATTCCAGGATGGACCACACACATACACACACTCACACAAAGATGAAAAGAAATGAACCGAAAATAAATTTATAAAATGAAATTCTGGTTGGTTGGTATATATTGTTGTCACACAAATGAAATAAACATTAAAAGACAAAGAAAAAATTTGTAAACCGATCATGATTAGTATGTGAAAAAAATGGTGTTGATAATGAGATGATGATGATGATGATGAAAACGGAAAAAACAAAACGAAAAAAAAACAGAAAACTTATTCATTACAAATGATAATAAGGACCTAATTGATTCATATGAATTTTCGCATAACAAACACACACACCAACAATCAAATGACAATTCTAAGGGCCGGCATATAAAATTAGGCCATTTTCTCTTTCTGTTAACAATGGTTAAATATTACAAACAAACATAAAAAATGTATCCAAGAATTTGAAAAAAATGAACGTGATCCAATCCACCGATGATGATGATATGTATAAATAAACAAATGTAAAGAGTATTGTGATCAGAATTTACAAAGATTCTTGTGGTTGATGATGATGATGATGATGGACAAAATATAAAGAGAATAAAAGCCATTAAAATTATTGGACATTTCATTGAACACACGTTCTCTTTCACTAATCAATAGTTCATTGTTCATGTTCTGTTTTGTTGCCGCTACTTTTTATCATTATGGATCATAGTGGACGGAGAAATTGTTTGGAATTTTGTTTTAAAACAAACGAATCGTTTATTGATATGATCATCAATTTTTTTAATGATGATCATCATCATTTGCTATAATAATCGATTTGTTTAAATTCTTATTCTCTCTTTCTACATTGCATTTGAATCGAATTCAATTTAGAAAGAAAAAAAAACTCTATTCTATTGGTTCAATTCATCATCAACATTCAATTGATACGAGTGTTTTACTTTAATTTTTTCACATTTTTTGTTATCGCTTGAATAGATTGATATGGTGTTCATAATTGTTGTTTTTGGCTGTCTGAATTTGTTGTAATCATCATTGTTATGTTATCATTATTACTTGCCATTAATGTCATCGGTAACATAAACATTTCTCTTTCTTTCTCTCTCTCTCAAAAAATGCTACAATTGATTTGTTTTATGAATTGAAGAATTATTGTACAAAACAACAACAACATTTGCTGAGAGAAAAAAAAATCTGTTATCATCAAAATCGACCAATTCGAAATAGAATCGTCAATTTTTTTTGTTTTGTTTTGTTTTAAAGATAAAGTAAAAATAAAATCCGAATCAATCTTTTGGAACAAAAACAAGAAATGGAACAAATGAACCGATAATAAAACAATGAACTGTATTTTCAATAGAACAAACTCTCAGTAGCAAAAAAAGAACATGGAAAAAAAATAAAATAAAAAACACTTTTATTCTCATTGAGTTTTTGAAAAGAATCTTGGAAAAAAAAGAAAAAAAATTGTAAAATGAAATTCTCAACAACCAAACAAACTTGAAGGAATAAATCTTGGTCCATTTTCACAAGAATATTATTATTAAAAAAAATGATTTGAAATGAAAACCAAAGTAAAAATCACGTTTGTTTTCACGTTTGTTCGTGTGAAGATGACGAGAAAAGAAAAGAGGAGAAAGAAAATTCAATTCAATTTTTGATGACCATTGAAATCATTGAAATTTCGTTTAAGTTTTTCTTTGAAAATTTCAAAATAAACCTGGAACCAAATTCTGTTAGGTGTTTTTGTTGCTGCTGCTACTGCTGCTGCTTTAATTGATCGCTATGGTTGAAGAATTCTTTTCACGGATTTTTTTTGCAAAGAAAGATAAAATTCCGTCATTTATGAATCAAATGTACCGTCATTTTTTCTTCTTCTTTCGAATACATTAATTCGACAATTTTCATAGCAAATATAAGTGAGGAGAATGAAACAAAACCGGAAATAAAAATGTGTGTCCCAGATGAAATTAAATGAGCAAAAGAAAAAAAAAGTTTTTGCTTATTTTTGTTTCAGTAACAAGAATATCTAAATTTACACACACACACTAGAGACCACAGAATGAAATGATATGTCCTTTGGCAGCAATGTGAAACCAAAAAGTTTCTGCATTGGACATACAACACACACACACACACACACACACACAAATCATATCAACAAACCAGAAAAAAAATCGAAAAGCCTAAACAAGGATTAGTTTGAAAAGCCAAAAAAACCCAAAAATATAAATGCCGCCCATTTATAATATGACTAACAACAGCAGCAGTAAGCGGTAAGCATCATTGATTAATTGGTCTTGTGGTCGTGAGAGAGAGATGGCAAAACATACGAAAAAAGAGAATCATTAGGAATCGACCTAATTACGAATGCTATACTAGCGGCCATCACACACACACATACATTGTCAATGAATGTTCAATTTTAATGATCATGGCATGTGACATTAGCCGAATCCAAATATTAGAAAGTTTCAGTGGGCAACAAAAAAAAGAGAGAAACGAAACAAATCCGAATTATCTATCCATCGAAATATTTATGTGGACAAATTTTTTTTGCCAATTTTTTCAAAAAACAAAATTTCTCGTGAATCATTTCGATAAAAAATGTTTGGAATTAATGGATCAGTCGTTGCCCAGAAGAAGAATAAAATAAACTATATTAGAACCATCAAGAATCTGTCATGACTAATAAAGGTAATAATAATAATTTGTTCTACTTACCAATTCTTGAAATATACCTGGTTCAATGCCCATATCATCGATAAGATTATTATCCAGATATAATGATTGCAATAGATTTGTATTTTTAAACAATGATTGATGTAGACGACGTAGTTGATTGAATGATAGATCCAGTATGCGTAATTGTTGTAGATGATAAAATGTATTATAATTGATTGAATGTATTGCATTGTGTTGTAGATAAAGCACTTCTAAATTCGTGGTATTCATAAATGTTTCATTCACAAGTTGTAGAATATTATTATTCGAGGCAAATAATTCTCGCAGACCAGTCAGACTTTGTAATCGCAAATCATGTAAATGATTATAAGATAAATCCAATGTCCGAATACTTTCCAAGCCATCCAGATTAACAACACGCAAACGATTAAGACTTAAATCTAATGTTTCCAGAAGAGGTAGCTGTTGAAATATTGAACTATCACTGACCACCGTAAGTAGATTATTGGAACAATACAGAATTTTCAACTTGGGCATTGTCATAAAACTACGTGAATTAAGATGACGAATATGATTAGATTGTAAATCAAGTGTTTCCAATACAGTGAAACGTGTAAAACCATCATCTGGTATTTGATTAATTTGATTATTCTGTAATTTCAATGTAGCCAATTTCCGTAATCTACGTAATGCAAATAATGGAAAATGTTCAAAAAGATTTGCGTTTAATATTAATTCTTCCAATGTATTCTCTAGGCCACCGAATGCAAATTCTTGTAGATTTTTTATTCGATTATTCTGTAAATTCAGCGCACGCAATGGAATGCCATAGAATGCATATGAATCAAGATTAGAAATATGATTGGATTGCAGATCAAGTGATTTTAGCCGTGTTAATTTCGATAATGTTGATTTGGGTATCATAGATATTTGTGAATCAACAAAACTTAATGAATTTAGTGATTCTTCAAGACCGTTATAGGTTTGTATCGTGCCGATACGTGTAAGATTCGTTGACGATATATGAAGCTCATTGATTAATGTAAATGAATTGAATAAATGATCAGGTAATGAAGGCGTGGATGATGATGTATTTAATCGATAAATACTTAATGAATGAACAGCTGATTTTGATTGTTGTGAATGTGATGATCGTAAATGATTAAGTGTGTGATTTATTTGCCTGATATTGGCACCTGTACATTCAATAAATATACCCATTATAATTGAACCATAACAATGACATGGATTTAATGTCATGTTGTGGTTGTGGTCATCACCATTACCACCACTATCGATATATAATGGACATATGGGTGTTGTAGAATTATTATCATCACCATATGATTGCACAAGTGGTAATGTTCGCGCCAACATTATCGATTGTAATGGCGGTGATGATGATGATGATTGTGCAATTAAAAATTGATCATTTGCCATAATCGATATTGATGTTGATGTTGTTGATAGGCAAAATATGTATGATAAATAAATAATAAATCGATAATTGAATAATCGATGATTACGGGCACAAACGGTGTTAATATTTTGAAAACGATGACAATATTTAGTAGACATTATCATCTTCATAAACATCATGACAATAAGAAATATATCAACAAATTGGAGATTCTTGTTTGCATTCGATTTTTTCTCATCACCATCATGATCATTTAATAATGATGATTGACGACGATATGAACAACATAATAATGAAAATGATGATGATGATTTCACACTCATTTTCATTAACATTATTTTGGCCAATAACAAAAACAATGGTGATGATGATAATGATTCATTGAAATAATATTGTTGCTAATAATTAACTAAACTGGCCAATAATATGATAATTAAAAAATAAATAAATAATGACCATTTAGATAAGGCAATATAATGTCGTCGTCGTTGCCGTAGATTTTAATGGTGTTAATGGTGATTTTGATAATGATAATGAAGAAGATTCCGATGATAATAATAATAATAATGAATTGATGATGACAGAGATTTTTTTTGTTTATTAAAACAACAATAGCAATGGCAGTAGTACAAAACGATAAATTCATTGTTTAATCATTGTGTTCTGTAGTTGTTTTGTCTTTCCACATTTATGGAAAACACAAAGCTTATTCACACGCACGCACACACAGTTGAAAGCGAGCATGGACTGATCATATCGTTTGTGAGAAAATTAATCGAAAAAAAATTTTGTTGATAAAACAAAACAAAACCAGAGGTTGATGATGATAGTAGACCACAATATTTTACATTTATTTACAAGATTTTTAGACGGTCGATATGAGCAAACAACTTTAGAATTACAATATATTCTCAGATTACGATGATCGATGTGATTGATTGATTGATTGATCGATTGAAGAGCGATTAAAGAATTGAGAAATTCAAATTGACTTTTTTCCAGAAACAAACATTCATATATTACATTTCCTATATATAAGAGAAAAGAGAAAAAAAAATCTTGCGTTTCAATGATATAAAAATGGATTTCTTTTCTAGTGGATGATCATTTTTCTCTCTTTACAAACTTATTGTGATTATTTTATCGTCGTCGTCTTCGTTGTTGTTATTAGTCATAAGTCATTTGATGTCAAAAACAATCATCTGGTCATCAAGAATTGAATATTGTGCACATGTTATTCCTGTTCCTGAAGATTCTAGACACAAAAAAAAGAGAAAATAAAAAGAAAAAGATGAAATTTATATACACAAACACACACACACATTATATTGTATTTCATTTCCTATTTTCTGTTATTCCGTTGATTTCTTGGTTGCTGGTTTGGGTTAGAATTAATAAAATAATCGTGTATATGTAAGTGCGAGATGATCATGAACCTCTCTCTACTCTCTTATGATTGTACATTATTTTTAGTAGATCCAAATGGATTCCAAATGGAACTCGATAATGATGATGACGATATATGGCTGCCGATTCCATTAATTCATTCTGCTCGGCTTCGAAAGCTTTTTTTCATTACATAGAGACAAATATTAGTTATTTTTTTCCAGTGAGAAAAAAGGAAAAAATCAAAAAGTTTTTTCACTCAATGTCACATCACACACATACACAAAAAAAAACAAAATCCTTCATCGATAAAAAATGGCAACAAACAAACAAATCCCGAAACTTAATCTATTAATTTCAATGCAGCCATTTTTGCATTTTGTATTCACAATTTACATGCCTGTCTGCCAATTTGTTTGTTTGGGTCATTTGTTTCAATCGATTCGGTTTGTTTTTTTTTTTTTTTTTTGGTTCCCATGAATCAGGAGCTAAACATCAAGACATTGATCAAAGAATGATTGATAATCGATGATCTTTCAAATGAGAATTTGATCGATTCGACCATCCACATACAATTGATGAAAGTATTTTTTTCGATGAATCATGTTAGCACAAAAAACCTTTACAATTATTTCGTCTTTTCGAACATTAGAATGTTGAACAGAGCAAACAACAATTGATTTGTGTCGAAAAAGAATTTTTTTTCGCTTTAAATCAAATTACCGCCAATTTCGTTATAAATAGCCAAACATTTTGGTCAATTTTTCAATTGTATTTGTATCTGCTACGATCGTTTTTGATTTTTTTTCTTCGTTCGTTCATTCTGCGTATATATTTTTTTTTTGTTTGCCCGCAATTCTTCATCAACAACAATGACCGATAATTCATCATCATCATCATCGTCGATGAAATTACCGACAAAAATAACAATGTCCGTTTCAACAACAACAATGAAAATTGTAAATATCGATGATGATAATAATTATGTTAATAAACGTGGACGTTTTGATTTGTTTGCAACAAAACCGGATATGGTTGACAATGGTATTAATAATGGTTGTGGTAGTAGTGCCACCAGTGGTAGCGGCAGCGGTGGTCAAGCTGGCCGTTCAATGTTAATACAGACAAATCATTTTATGATTACATATGATCCAGATAAAATTATCTATTCATATTATGTGAAAATCAATCCAATCATCAGTAACAATAATGATCATCATCATCATTATTCACAGCAACGATTGAAAAATATGGCTAAAACTATTCAACAACAACAAACAACACCAAATAGAAGTCATAATAATGGTGGTGGTAATGAATTATTATCACGTAAAATCATACAACGATTAATTGAAATGAATAATGGTGATGGAAATATATTCCATAATGTACTCTGTGTTTATGATGGTGCATCATCAATGTTGACAAATTTTCGTTTGCCAATTATTGATGATAAATTGATTAAATTTCGTGTTACATTACCGGCAAATGATTATTATCATAATGAACAAGAATTTGAAGTTTGTATCAAACTAATCAAAACAGTTGCCTATTCAACTATCGAAGATTTTTATCGTAATCCAATGAATGATGGTTATGTTGAAGTGGTCACTGCTGTTAATCTAATTATAAGACATTTATTGCTTAAAAAACGTTTCCTTATTGGCCGATCAAATTTTCATCATCATTCCAGTGTTGATAATCGAATAAATTTATCTTCATTGAAAGAATTATCATTCGGTATATCATCATCGGTGCAGACATGTTCCGCTGGATTACAATTAATTATGGATCGCTGTTGTACACCGTTTATTAAACCATTTATGATTGATGATTGCATTAGGAATTTTCTACAAGAAATGTCGTCCAATACAACTGGCTCGAATAATGTAAATCATCATCACAATCATCATCATCATCATCATCAACAACAACAACAACAACGTTGGAATGATTTTTACCGCAAACGATTGGAGCCAATATTGAAAGATTATTATTTTGAAGTAACCAATTTACAACGTTCACGACGTTATCGTATTGGCGGTATTACAACCGAATCGGCAAAAAAAGTAATGTTTACACCGAACAATGATAACAATGAACAACAACAACAACAACGAAAATGATTAGTGTTGCTGATTATTTTCATCAACAATATGGCCAATTACAAAGACCAGATTTACCTTGCACAAAAGTACGTCGTGGTAAGAATGAATTCATCTATTTTCCGGTGGAAATCTGTCAGATTATCGCCGATCAAAAAGCCAGGAAATTGACGATTAAAGAAAAAGCAGATTTAATACGTAAAGCAGCTAGTATTAATCCAATCGATCGATTGGATGAAGTCCGCAATAGTGTTGAAGAATTGATCAATATTGATAATAATGAGAATTATCTAAAAGAATTTGGTTTCAATATCTCTACACAGCCTATTACGATACGTGCACGTGTATTGGATTCTCCAAAACTTCTTGAAGGTGATGATCGTCCAATTAAATTAACAAATGGTAAATGGCGTTATAGGAAATTTTTCCAACCAATCGCATTGAAACGTTGGATTCTAGTGAAATTAATGCATTTTGATGATTCAACAGTGGAAAAATTTTTGGATACATTCATTCGCAATGGTGAACAATTAGGCATGCAAATCGATATGCCAATACGTATGGATTATGATTTTGATATTGCGACATTGGCAAATTTTCTCCAAAAATTACAACATACATACAGCAGCGGTAGTGGCAGTGAACAACAACTACAGCTTTTATTTTTTATTGGCTGTAATACTGAATGGCAACATAGTGCTATAAAAAAATGTGGTGATGTCGATTTTGGCCTGGTAACACAATGTATTCGGCAAACAAATGTTCAACGTATCAATCAATCAATTGCTGTGAATATTTTGCATAAAATTAATGCAAAATTAGGCGGTATAAATGTAACATTGGATTATGGAAAACTTCTACAAGCAGATGATTATCGCAAAACAATGGCAATCGGTGTGGATGTTGCACATCCATCACCATCGGAAAAGAATCTACCATCCATAGCGGCAATGGTAGCGAATGTGGATGAATCATTTGCTCGATATACATCATCGGTGAAGATACAGAAATTTTTTCGCCAAGAAATCATACAAGAATTGGATAAAATGCTCATTGATCTATTACGTGCATATGAAATGGAAACTAATCAGCTACCGGAAAGAATTATATTGTATCGTGATGGCGTTAGTGAAGGACAATTTCAAGTGGTCTTTAATGAAGAAATTCTCCTGATCAAAGAAACACTGGCACGTTATCGTTCGGGACATAAATTCCGTTTGACATTTGTAATTGTACAGAAACGACATCATTCACGTTTCATACCGGATAATAGTAAAGATGGTGTTGGCCGATTCTATAATATACCACCAGGTACAGTGGTCGATACGGATGTTGTACATCCAAGACGTTTTGATTTCTATCTTTGTTCACATGCCGGTATTCAAGGTACATCACGTCCATCACATTATTGTCTGTTGGTCGATGAAAATGAAATGTCCGCTGACCATATACAAAACTTCACAAATGTTCTTTGTCATTTATATGCACGTTGTTCACGATCGATATCGATACCAACACCTGTTTTCTATGCACATTTAGCTGCATTTCGTGCCCGTGAACATATACAAGCGGCTACATCGTTGATGATGTTATCGATGACTAATAATCGTAATCAGAATTTTAATAATCAACAACAACAACAGCAGCAGCAGCACAACAACAACAACAAGATGCAGCCAAAATGCTTAATTATTTTTCAACAACAACAACAACAACATCAGCAACAGCACAGTCATTTTTATCATCATCATCATCGATGATGACCACGCCAAACAACAACAACAACAACAAAAACAACAACAACAATGATGATGATGATATATTATCATCATCACCACGAATACATTATACAAAACATCGTGTACCATGTTTAGATAATTTTGATTCATTCGTTGAAATGTCACCAACAATGCGATCGTCAATGTATTTCTGTTAATGAATGATGAACAAGATTTTTTTTTATTTGAAAATTTTTTAAATGAAAAAACTGAATTTTTTGTGAAAATAAAATTGAAATTGAAAAAACTCTAACAACAACAACAGCAACAACTAATCATTTTCAAAATCAGAAATCTTGAAAATGGAAAAACCTGAAAATATGCTCATTATACAGATTTGTTTTATAAATAGTGAAAAAGAATCACCATATGATGATGATGAAAAAACTGGATGGAATCATGGAAAAGCATTATTATTAAAATATTATTAAATTTTGTCACCAACTTCATCATCATCATCATCATCATCACATCCATCATTCAATTCGATTCGTTTTTTTTTTGAATTTGAAAATGTGTTGCAGACACACACACACACACACAGACAGACAACATTATTAATATTTTCTACAAATATAAAAAGAATCCATTTCAATTTCATCTCGTCGATTTCTCTTGATTTTTTGTTGAATTTGATTTTGTTTTTAATTAAATCATCAACATGAAACTGAGTGTGTTGTTCGTTGAAAAGAAATATTATTACCTTTATTGAGAAAAAGATACATCTCTTGTGTGAGATTATTTTATTTTAGAAATAATAAAAATTGCAAATGATGGAAATAATTTCTGGGAAACCAGTAATTCAAAACTTTGCGGGAATTTTTCTATCTACCATTATAAAAACGATTCAAGAATGCATTCGTGTCACAGCAAACCAAAGTGCCGGTAAAAGGCTATATACCCGGAAGATGATGTTGTTAATTTCAATGTATCTCCTTTTCCCGTTGTCTTTTTTCTTCGGGACAATCATTTGTGTGTGTGTTTTTTTTGGTAAGTATGTGTCAATCCGAAATGACCATTCATTTGTTATATCGTCGTCGTCGTTTCAAATGCGTTTGATGATGATCATTATATATCGTAGAATGACCATTTCAAGAAGCATTGAAAATAGAAAAACCCGGGACCCGACATAACAATTGAATTATAGCTAGTATACCAGTGAAATGGGTAAAGTTTTTCTTCAATTTTTTTTTGCTTTGAAAATTGTAGCAATCGAAACATTGTGTCTTCCTCAACAGAGTGAAACCAACCGACCAACAGCCAAAAGAAAAAAAAATTCGTTTCAATCAATTTTAATCCAAATAACAACAACAACAACAACAACGAAATCGAATGAAAATGAAACTTTGACTGATCCCCGGTACAGAGGAAAAAATCGGTTTTTTCTTCTCGGAAAAAATTCTTATTGAACGGCAAATTGATGGTATGGAATACAAAATAAACGAAAAAAAAAATTCGTCCAAATCGAAATAAAAATTCGTCCATCACTTTATAATTCGTTTGACGGTTTTTGACAACCTCGAACGAAAAAGATCAAGATCAAAATAAAAAAAAATTTCTTAAAAACAAAAATCAAGTAATGAATGATTATATCGATTATCAAAACAAAAAAAAAATCGATTATTATTATCTTTGAGAATTCTCATTCTCATTATATTCGTTGAGACAATTTATTTTCTGCTCACACACACACACACACACACACCGAATAAATGTTTAATCTTTTGAAAACAAAAACTTTTTTTTTCATTTTGGTTCAAAAATTTCAATCCATAGATATTGTTGTCTCTCACTGTCAATGTGATTTATTTCAAAAAAGACAAAATTCGATTTTTACCAAAATCAAAGATGATATCGCGATGATGGAATCAAACAGAACACAAACAATCGATTCTATTCTAACACACACACACACACTTGACGAATGAACGAATGTGGAAATATCCGCCATCGAATCATTATCATCAACATGAATAACTTTCATTACAATTTTTCTCTACTGATTATTTTGATGATAATGAGACTTCAGTGGTTCGTTTTTGTTTAGTTATTTTTTTTATTGAATCGTTACCACCGTCATCATCATCAAGTTCTATGATGATGTAAGTGTTGCAAGAAAATTTCTTCTTTTTTTTACAGAGAAAAAATACACATCATTGAAGAACTTTTTGTTGCAAATAGAAAGAAGAATTTTGGGTAAATATTGATATATTTTTGTCTGGCTCACTAGTACTAGTGTGGTTATACATTATATAAGTATGTTATTTGTTTGTTTCCAAAAAAAACCCATTTCCTTTTTCCACAAATGATAATAACAATAACTATACGTTTGTCTAAGAAATCTTGAATCTTGAATCATCATAATAAATAGCCAGAAAATAAAACATGGATATTATAATCGTAATTAGTGTTTGAGAATTTTTTTTCCATAATAAAAAAATAAACGATGAAAATCTTGTGATGATAGAGTTGATTATCTTTTTGAAATGTGCAAAGAAAAGATAGTGCAAATGAATCGTATTCAATCTCACATTGTTGTTGTTCACTCTTTTTTTTCATGTATAAAACTAATTTGTTTACCACACACATGATGATGATGCAAGAATTTTATGTAAAAAAATTTCATGATGTTTTTCCCGCAAAAAAAACCTGTTTACTATTTATTTAATTTTGCAAAGGTGTGATGGTGGTGGCGGATAATCTGCAAATCTGAAATTAAATTCTGGTTCAACACACACCCACAAGAACACCAGGATCATCATCATTGTGTCAGTGAGAGAAAATGTGAATAAAAAAAACAAAAAAAAAATTCCAAATTCATGAATGAAACACGATGGAATTTTTTTTTCATTCAATTATTTCTAGAAAAAAAGTTTAGTAAATAAAATATGTGGGTGAAGAGACAAGACAGAGAAAAGAAGAATTCAATTAGCTTGATTAATTTTTTTTTGCTTTATGGCTGTTATTTTTAAATAACAAAAAAAATAGAATTTTCCTCTTCCGGTTCCGGCTCCAGATGTTGGTCGTCACGGGAATAAAATTCAGGCCTGAAGCCAATGACCGAAAAGTTTTCGGTGCATATGTAATACCGGTGTTTACAATAAAAAAAAATTATTAAAATTTATTTACAACAAACCAAACGAATAATATGCATGGTGCAAATCACAAAAGGAAAAAAAATTCATCTGGCAATTCATATGAATTTACTTTTTCTCATCATCATCATCATTACTTTTGTTTGTTAATGAAAATGATATACATTGCAAGTGAGAACCAAGAAAAAACGATTTGACTTCTGTTGTAAAGATGTGTGGATCGAATTTCTATGCCAAACAAAAACAACGAGACTCATCTGGTGTCCGATTGAAAATAAAGAAATTATTTCTTCCTCTTTTTTTGTGTGTGTGTGTGGTGGTGGTGGTGTTGGATAATAATAATAGTGTTCGATCAATGGACGACGAAAAAAAGAAGAAAAAAAATTGGAAATCGAACCAGAATTCGATTACCGGGTGAATTTCACCCACACTACACTACAACGATGACGACGACGACGACGACCATGTTCAAATCAATCGACCATCGTCGTCGTCGAACAAATACATGGATAGTTAATTTTGTTGTTGTTTATGTTTGGTGACTTGTATTTGTTTTTTTTTTTTTGGCACTAAGATCATGGAAAATATAAAAAAGAATCGAGAACGAGAGAAAAAGATTCTATTATCACGAAAATTGACTAGCTTGCTAGCTGGATGGCTGGCTGGCTGTTTTTCATTTTGGGCAAACACACAGAGTTAATACAATAAAATAAAAAAAAAGAGAAAAAAACATCCAAAGAGGACGAAATAAAAGTGACGTATTTAATTTAGCGTAACGAGACATAAATGCACACAATAGACATACACGTTCAAAATAGATCGAATTGTATCGATATTTTTTCCGTTGTTGTTGTTTTCGTCGTCGTTGTTCAAATCAAACAGAACATTTTATAAGAATATTCTACATCTCTGTCTTTATCCCGCCCTGAATTTGAAATGCTAGTATGTGTGTGTGTGTGTTTTTTGAGACATAATATTATTATATTCGTAATCGACAAATTCAATTGAACCGAAATAAACGGAAATTAAGTGATGGGCGAGGAAGGAGTGTGTGTGTGATAATGAGAATAATGTAATGAACTCTAATGATAATGATGATGATGGAACGAAAAATGGTTAATAATTTGGAAAACAAAACAATTCTCAAACTGATTATTGTGAGTTAATCTATCGGTTGATCTAAATAATCAATCCTTTTTTTCCAAAAAAAAAAACAATCGATTTGACTTGATTGAATGAATTTGCAAGGTAAAAATTTTTTCGTTTCGAAAAATGAATTGTGTTTTGTTGTTGTTGTTATTTTTTCCTCACATTCACATGATTCAAACAATTCAATTCACTATACACTGTAATTATCGGAGTTAATCGATTGGAATTTTCAATTTTGTTTCACAATTCTCTCATTCATTATTATTTTCACATCACCCAATGACATACGAGAAAATGGCGTGTAAGCAACTCCTTGAAACTCACACACACACACACACACACACACAAAAAATAAAAACAATTGATAATAACAAGAATTTTTTTGTTCATTCTATTTCTACTTTGTCAAACACAAGAATAACGTTGATAACGACAATTGGTTGGAACACACACACACACACAAACATGGAATTGCTACGGCTATACAAATGTTTATTTTTGCACTTATCTACTCCTACACATGCATTCCAAAAGTACATTTCATGGATTTCTCAAACAAATATTTGAATGAATGATTTACACTGAAGAGTAAAGAAAATAAAATAAAAAAAAATTCAGAGATTTGTGATGATAATAATCGAGGAAAAAAGGAGTTTTTTTCTTGTTTCCATCTTCTGTGTTTTTGAATTTGAAAAACATAACAATCCAACAACAACAACCAATAGACACATGCACACACACACACAAAACATTTTTGGGTGAATCAAATTGAATACCTATCGATTAGAAGTAAGAGATTGTTAAACAACAACGACAACGACAAGAAATTCAAATGTATCGATCACCGATTGATTGATACAAATTCATGTGTTTGTGTTTGTTGTGTCAACCTATTATTGTCACCATCAATTTGAAATTCAAAA